TTTTCCAAAGGTAAACAAACACATAATAAAAATGTAATGCTAATTTAAAGGTAAAAGAACTGGTTATAAATTTGTGGGGTTTTTTGCTTTGTTCACTGAAGAAAGCTATTAGATAATGATGCAGTGAAAGGACACCATTTTAGACGCCAGATCTCCTCACAAAACTATTGGCATATGCTGCCTACACATTAAAAAAAAAAAAAAAGAAAAAAAAAGAAAAAAAAAGAAGCCATGAGTTTTTGCATTATCAACTAATGCAAGTACAGAACAACAATGTTTTTTAAAACAGTTTTTGGCATGCAAACACACTGTCCAAATGTTAGACATCAGACACACTTCTCCACCTGCTCATTCAGATGCTCCAAATGTTGTTATACTTCCATTTCCTTAATTTATTTTCCTCTCTTTTGTGTTCCTTTTCCCTTCAAGAATGTTGCCCCTACAAAATTATAATTAATCCAAGGAAAGATATCCCTCAAAATGCCCTTTGGAAAGCTGGGGGAAGGTGGAGGATACTAATATCACATATGGAGGCTATTGCAGTGTTGACCTGGACTGTGTGCTCGAGGAGAGGCTCCTGGGACAGGCAGAGTCTCCTGTTGGGGAGCTCTGGGCTCAGACCCTGAACACCATCACAGCACAAGAAATAAACACGTTAGCAACATCATCATATTGCACATTGAACCCCACTGAAGTCTGTAGCTGTTCAAGATGCACATAAATGCACACTGTAGAGTTTTTGGAATCAGGGACAGAGCACAGTTCCTACAAGACTGGGGCAGCTTTGAGGGGAACTCGCTTTTAATAGAAGTAAAGACAAAAAAAAAAAAAAAAAAGGAGTGGAAAGTCAACATACAGCAATTTAATGAATGACTTGTGCAACTCCGCACTGTTTTAAAAGCTCCTAATTTACATACTTTTCAGCTAGTTAATGTCTGCCTCCAGGACATGGTTTTAAACACTGTATTAACACTGTGACTTTTCTGCTTTTTCAACTTCTATGGTTTTACTCTTCAGAATCCCCTTGTTTATGATGACAATATAAAATACTTTAACTTGCAATTTAGTAACAGTTACCAAATTCTAGGTCAAGGTTGGCTTTGAATATATCCTGAAAACATATTATCTATATATTTTACATCACATAGTACAATTTCAGAATCTGGTTAATTTGCATTTCTGCAAGACTATTAGTTTAAAATCACATTTTTAAAGTTTTTAAAGTTATTACATTGGCCAAGACCATAGTATAGACTCACAGAGAAGACTGAGAGAGGGAGGCACCTCTGGAGTTTTGCTGGGCCAACCCAGCTCAGAGCAGGCTCAGCCAGAACAGGTTGCTCAGGGCTGTGTCCAGTTGGGTTTTAAATATCTCCAAGGATGGAGAATCCACAGCCTCTCTGAACATCCTTCTTCCTTGCTGGCCACACCCAGAGTAAAAAGTTCTGTTTTTTTCAAATCATCTTTAAACAGAATTGCTGTCATCTTTTCACTGAATGCCACTGAGCCTGGTTCAATCTTCTATACTGCATCACACTAGTTCTGTATAGACATCATGCACATAATGTGTTGTATTTAAACATAAGAAACTAAAATGGCCAAAGTTCATTAGCTTACGAACATGTCTTCCCATCTTTCCAATTAATTTTTAGCATGCAGTTGAGGGCATGACACCAAGAACAACAAAATAAGGAAATAAGATGTTCTAACTTAAAAAGAAAGATGGCAGAAATCCTTGTTATCTTAGTGTCCTGATCTTTGCTCATAAGCATGTACAGAGAAACCAGAAATAACTGGGTGAAATTCAGTTTAGATCCTCAGGGTTTAAAAATACCAGATTTTTTTGGTGAGTTTCAAAGGAAATTAAGCACTGAGATTTCTTTGAAACCTAAGGCACATCAGGTGTGAAAAGCAAACCCTTTAGGTTTTCATTTGTTCTTCAAACAACACCATGGACTACAAAATAGGTTTAAAAATTTTATTGTATTTAAAGTTTCTAACATCTTCTTTGTCACTACTGAACTTTTTATAATAAAGGCTATGAAGAAACACCTTCTCAAATTGGAAGTATAATTACACTGAAGTTAAAAGGAAGTTTCAATTTCAAAATTAATCCAATACATGTTTTTAATAAAGGTGTGGAAAATTAAGAATGTGAGTCTCAGACATTACGTAGAATTTGCAGCCTTTTGAAAATTTGTATTTTTGAAATTTAATTGATTCCATATGCAAAAAAAGGTGGCTACCAAAAAGCTGCAGCATCACTAAGAGTTCACCTTTTTATTAATATCCTAACTCTATGTATGTTGTAGACTATAAATAAATTTACCAACAGAGTTAGATAAAGCTAATTAATTAGCTGTAACATTTGACATAAGGATCACAATTGTTAATTGATTATACTCTATATCAAAAATAAGTCTGAATGAAATCTAACGTAAACTGATGCTGCTCTTGGCCAAACTCCTTCAGTCAGTGAATCACCATGAACAAACGACCTCAACAGTTCCCCAATAGTATGAATTTGTCTTTTGTTTGTAATTGGATCATTTGGTATTTTAACTGGCCAGCTTTCCAGGCTTATGATCCTACACTTTATCATCCTTATGCTTAATTTGGTGCCAATTGCTGAACACTTCTTTCTTAGTTATTTCATTCTTTGATTCTGGCAAAACTGGGAGAACTGAAGACTTTTTTACTAAAAGTTAAAGCAAAGAGGACACAGCAACAGCAAATCCTCCAAACTGCTTTTACAGGACTTCTGGAAAACAAAAACAAATAAAACAAACAAAAAACTACATACCTTTCTGCCTCTGCCATCATCGGAAAGTCTACTGGGCAAGGTACAAGCTGCAGAGGTTGGATCCCTCTCTGATACAGGTACAGGGACCACAAACATCTCAGTCCAAGCCCGGGCAATGGAGCAGTGAGGAGAGAGCTCCAGGCCTCGGCCAAGACAAGCCAAACAGGCAGCTTTCCTCTGCCTGCCACAGATTCTGATTCAGGATATTACTCATCACCCCCAGCAATGAAATTTTGACTCTACTGAAGTCAATGGCAAAACACTTGTTCAGCAGGGCCAAAATTTTGCCTGAGTTTATTACTGACTTTATAGCAGTGACAAAATCTGATATCCTATTTCCAAACTCCTAAGACACCAGCTGCCTTCCTGTTTAGGATCACACGTTACCATAATGTTTTTCCAATTATTAAATAGATATTTGTAGCCATAAAAAGGAAACCAAAGAAGAAATGAAAAGGAAAGCAAGAACAAAATAAAGGACTATTGCTAACATTTAGCAGATATGTTCTAAGTACAATAAATGAATTTTCCGATGTAAAGGCACCAGTTTATTACCAAAATACTTCTTTCCTTTGGATGGAAACTAAGTTCTCTTTTGTCTTTTCTTCCTTTATATTTTTTTTGGTTACTATTCATTATCATTAAATTTCCTGTAATTAAAACTGCTGAATTAAAAACACATGGCTGCTTGTGAAGCCAATGCTTCACAACATACTGACATCCCAGAACCATGTTTAGCCAAGAAAAAGCAGATCAGCTTTCATTATTGCTACAGGATTTACTGAAACTTAGTACAGCTACAAGCTCTATCTATTGCCCTATCACACAGTACCTCTACCTGTGAGTATAAGCACTGCACAACTTAAAAGTCATCTTACAGAGCACGACATTTTAATGTAAAAATCCAGTTCCCAAAATGTGTGCTGATTTGACTTCTGAGAGCCCATATAATAAGTTCGGGATATCCATTATTTTAAACTAACTCAGAAACACTTTTATGAGATAAAATCAAGGAAACACCACTGAAACAATACATTTCTAGACCTCACTGGCCCAATAATTTTCCAAGAATATGGTTTACCTGCCACTTCCACATTTTTATGTGGTTTGCTTTGTCATTTTACAATTGTAGTTTATAATGCATTATTCACCCCAACCTGCACCTGTCAGTTTTTTTTGGCTTCACCTTCTACCTGCAGAACTAGAGAAAAATTGCTTCTTTAAGGAACTTTTTCACATCACAGTAATTAAATACTAGATAATTCTTTTCAAGTAATATGACAGCTGCTTTCAAAGGAACGGAGAGAACCACTGCGCAGAGAGAGATGCTGCCTAAAGATCCTGAAAATACCTGTGCTCACAGTTCTGGTGTGGCCAACTTGCTGTGCAATGCCATTCCTCAACTACTCAAGGGCATTTCAGACCATGTCTGCTTTTCACATCCAGTCCTATTCTCTGATATGTCTGAGGATATATATTATCTGACTGGCATTTAGAGAAATGCATTACAGCAGGTTTTGCAGGATGCCATTTGTGTATTCATAATGAGCAGAAAAAAAACAGGAATGAACTCTAAGTACTGTGTGAAGAGCAAAGGGCAATCCTTTCAATACAATCTCCTTTTCAACTCTCATTTTATGTGCTTGGCCTATTTTTTGAAATACACAAAAATGGCAGGTTTTGCATCCTTATGACGAGTACTGTATGTGGAAAGGCACAAGCCAACTTCTATATTTATACTCATCTTTCAGATGCAATATTGACATTTTCTTAGATTATAATAAAAGCTGTAATGACTTCAGAGTTGGTCTCCAGGAATAAAACTGACTAAAATATGTGTCGAAATACATAAATGAGAATTTTGCAATGTACAAACTTTCAGCAAATATCATCAGGCAGTATGTTCTCTGTGACACAGAACTTGTTCCTTCCAGTGTAAAATACAAGAGAAGGATCATTGTTTGGAGTCACGCAGCACCCTCCATAATTAAAAAGCAAGGCAAATTTCAAAGCATGAGAAGACTATGCAATATTTCAACTCTTGGAGAAGAGAGAGAGGTGGGAATTTTGAAATTTGCTGCAGGCCAATTATGAGAATCCTCCTTTAATTTTCCTCAAGCTTAATAACGCACATTACAAGAGCTCAAAACAAAGGGTGATAATTTTTCTGTAGCTCAGCTTCCGGTACCTAACTTACCTCATTTAAGAAGGCACATTTCCATGCCCATCAATGGACAGAGAGGGGCTCTTCCAAAGGGAAATTCCAATTCCCTCTTTTTCTGAGCTGTCTTTTAACATCAGATTGTGGAAATATTCCAAAAACTCTTCAAGAATGGGTGCCCAAGAAGCATACTACAAAGTAAAGGATTCTAATGAGTGATTATTAACTTCTGTCTGCCTCCACTGAGTGCACAGTAAGTAGACTTTTAATCCTAGAAACTGCAGGAAATTCTTCAAAAGCTATAACTGAACTATACAAGTAAGGAATTAACTCAAACTGTTAGAAAATACTGTGCTACATGGGTAAAGGCAGACCCAGCTGAGCTAAAGCACTGCACTGTAAGAAAAACTGACAAGGATCTCATTTAATTACCTGCATAAATATGAACTTCAAATAACTTAATTGAGCAAAAGAACCTTATGAGACGATGTCACTTCTTTTTTTTTTTTTTTTTTTTAACAAAAAATCCCCAAAGCTATGCCTCAAAACCAGTATTAGCAAAAGCTTTGCAAAAGCAACAATCAAAGATCAGTAAACAGAGAAGTGCCCAGTGAATGGGTGATGCAAAGGTTACCCTCTGTTTCCAAGAAGGAAAAAGAGGCAGGAGCACCACTGGGAATGAGCAACAGGAAGGGGTAGAGCAGAACTCAATAAGATGAAAGTAGAAGCGACTCTGGGGCAAAACTGAGATGCCTCAAAGTGGTATTACAGTGAGCACCAGAGAGTTTAAAAATCCAAAAAAACAACTTCCTGATTGGTTTTCAAAATGAAGATGTGGCCAATGGAAGTAACCCAGGTGTGATACCTCAACAGATTTCTAGTGTGATGGGCCTATATTGCTGAATTTTAAGTGCATGGTCCTTTTGGAGAAAGAGCTCTAAGTAAAAACATAAAAGAGAGTACAGCAGCTAAACTACTAAATGACAGAGGAAAACAGAAAAAAATCTAATGAAAAAGATATGGGAACCATACACAGAAACCTTTTATTTCAAAACTGACTTCTTAATTTCAGACTGAATTCTATCTGCAAGTCAATTAGGATTTTTGCTTGCCTGCTGTTAATAAGGTGGCGAAAGTCACTTTGACACCACTTTTGTGCTCTCAGAGGTAAAGACTGAAGTGTTTGACTGCCAGTGAACCCAAATAAATGGAAACACATACGTATAAAAATATTCCTTCACTATTCCTTCCTAACTTCCCAAGTAACGCATTGGAAATAAATCCTTTTGACTTTACTCTGGTGTTTTCCACCAGGGCATGGTGCACGCAACCTTATATAGCCCATTTTGCTAACTATTGTGATATCACATTAAACTGCTGAGAAGAGAACAGTTGTTACAGAATCAACAGAACAAAAATTTCAGAGTTTGTTTTCTTATTTTAACTGTGAGACTTTAGCTACGTATAGTTATCAAGAAGAAAAACAGAAATGAATGTGCGTGAGTAGAAAATAAATAGAAAACTGCTGAATTTGTACTGTAATTCTGGGATAATGGGCCTGATGCCTCCCTTTCTGTTTTGTAAATATTTTTTCAAGTATTTCCTATAATGCCCATTGAAAGCTGATTTCCTGTTCTCAGTTACACACAACATGGGCAATGAGGCACAAGGTAGAAAGTGACTTTGGTCTGGCTGGCAGGATGTTCTTTGAGATGATGCATGATTCACCCCAGGAGATTTTAAAAATTGTATCTGTGAAAGCAATACTGATGTTTAACTTGAGTTTTTGGGGAGGCGGGGCAGAAGAAGCATATTTGGGGTTCTTAGCACCAAAAATCTTGTATTATATTGTTTTCCAGAAATGCCACCTCACGGATGGAGTAGAGCAGCAGTCTCTCTTCTAATTTCATTCACCAGTTGTTCTGGTCTGAGGGCTGTACATCATCAGTCTCCCATGCTGCCATAATCACTTTCTAGACTGTGTCATAGATTCCTCACTGCTTACTGGCTCATTACTCAGGAACACACTCTAACAAATTATTTCAGCTTAAGACAGATTTTTCAACATACTCTTCTCAGATGGAATGTTGCGCTGGTTTATAACAGGCAAAATGTCAGGGACCACAGACATTTGATTTGGGTGTGCTCTGAAAACTTTGAAATCTTATCCAGGATTATCCACCTCCTTGTGGTGTCCCTTCCTCCTCCCTTTTTCATAACTTCGGGTCACAACAGACGCCTATTTGTTTCCTTTTTTGCTCCTGGATTTCTACAATCTCATCCTGTCTGACATCTATAGCAGAGATACTCTTGAGGAGTTTCCTTCAATTCCCACTGCAAGCTCAGATTTCTAAGTTCTGATTCCTTTGATACTAACCCTCTGTACGATTTTTTTTTTTTTTTGGCAACAACAATTCTTCTCAACAGTTTCTTAATTTTTAAAAGGAATATAAAAATAAAACTTTGCTATGAAAAAAAAAAAATCAGTTGTTTTGTGCTCAAAAGATGAATAATACTTTGAGTGAAACACAACCCCACCACGGAAGGGCAGCAAAAAAGACCGGATACTGCCTCATTCCTACATTGGTCCTATCATTATTTTGACCTCATTTGTCATCTTTGAGGTGTTCAAATAGAAGTTCTCAGCACCTCAGCAGACCAACCACACACTAGAAAAGATCATGGTGCTGACAACATCAAATTTGTTGTCCAAAACATCCAAAAAAACCCCCATCCTAAATTCAGCAGTGAAATGTTGGAAAAACTCTGACGAATCAAACAGTTTATGGAAGGAAACAGGTAACTCCTCTCTCCTCTACAACTTAAAATACTGCAGAAAGAGAAGTTTGTCTTGCACATGAAAATTCTAATGCATGCAATGATTTGTGGTTTGGGAATTTTTTCTTTTTTTTTTTCCTTCTTTGTTTTCTTTTTTTTAATGAAACCCAAGGGACAGAAATTTTTTTACCTGAGAAGATAAAAAGAAAAATGAATTTTCAAAGTCCACACTACTCAAGCGGATTACACTACTTAAAATTCAGCACGCACTGACTAGAAAATCTCTTTTCCTAGATTCTTCTTGACATACTGTGGTACTACTTTAAATTTGAATTGAGATGAATTTTACCAAACTTAACTCCAGCTATGAGCCGGGAACCACGATGATCAGTTGGTCACCTTCTAATGTTACCTACGTGTGTCTTTAACTGCAAAGAGTTTCATTTGCCTTTGAAAGCACTAGTTTTCAGTGCACACGCAGATTTTTATGCACAACTTCTACTCAGCAACCTCACAGTTCTTAGTAATTTTGGAAATAATATGCAAGCCTGTTTCTACCTAAATTTACTTTCTAGAATCCTTGCCTTGCTGCCTTGCCCACATTCTTGCTATATTTTCAGACCACCATGAATTATATTCTTGTTTTACCTTAGCACCTTCTTTCCTGTGCTTCATAAAGTCGGGGTTACTTTTTTTTTTTTCACTTATTATTCAAAACACCTCAAACTGGAATTTTCTTCATTTTCTTCCAACACAACAAACATCTCCAATGCACCTTCTGCTCCCCTACTCCATCTATTTTTGTTGATGTTTTCTACTTGCTTTAACAGACTTGGTTTGGATGTCCGGGTGTATTTTGTCCTCATCCTATGTTTGCTTTCCAGTTGGAGAGTTTCCTGGCAGACAAGGACTGTAAATTTGCTCTGTAGAGCACAGAGGCAAACAGTCAGGACTTAACGAGTAAGATACCTGGCTGCTTAGGAGAAACAGGTGTTATTCACCATGTTATGAGACATATTCCGCCCTACAAACTCCCCAGTTCACATCAAAAGAGAAAATCTGAACATCACTTCTAACACTCTTGACAAAAAATTATCTATTTACCTATGTAACTGATGTTTTTTAATACATTTCTCAGTGTCCAATATCCACTGCATTTTAAAGAAGATATGGTAGCCCACTGCAACTTTAAGTAACACAAGACAACTTTGCAGCTTACCATTTTTTATCAAGGGTTTGTCATTTGCCTGTTCACAAAGCTTATTCATAGTATGTTACTGAATCCATTGGCAAAACACAGACTCCATGTACTCATCTTTTATGTACAAAAGGATTTGTTTAGCATTAGACACACATTCTCAGCATTGTACATGTCTGCTTCATTTAGCGGTAAGAAAAGGCTAAAGTAAAATCCAAACAAAATTACCACAATGTTTCAAATTCCAATTTATCTTCAGCTATTCTCTAAGTACAGGATCTTCCCATAGGCACTTCCTTAGCCATTTAGGAAGCTGCCATGCTGAAGCTGAAATTACTTGTAACTTGTTTGGGTTTTGGTTTTCGGGTTTTGAGTTGTCTTTTTTTTTTTTTTCATCTATCAACAATTTAATAGTAAGCACTCCCCTTTATTTAAGCTTTTCTGAAGTGGGACTTTCCCCCTGCATTCTCAGCAGCACATTCCAGATGCCTGTGGAAACAAAGGATGGAGAAAAATGGAGCACAGAGAATCTGCTCCTGGACCAAGAGCTCCAGGAAGGCTGTTCCTTGTTATTTCAGAAAGCAATGCAGGTATTCAGACAATGCACTAGGAAATACAATTCAAAATAGGAGCAATGATAAAGGCTGAAGAGACTTCTTTTACCAAATGCCACCCACTAAAGTAGGTCTTGTCATACAAATCAGTTTGCCAGACATGAGAAGTTATCGTAATGAAAGAAAATTTTTTTCTGACCAGCTCTTTACGAGTTTAACAACAAGAATCACTGTGCATAAATTCCTTCTGAAACGTTAGAAAACTGTGTCTGTTGGGGTGGGCTGAGGTGAAGTAACAGGACAATGTGGGGAATTATGGAGAGAATGGAAAGACAGACTGAACACAAGGGATCCTCTAGTCCAACACGTTTCTGCAAAGCAGCACCAGTTATTCTTGTCCTTCCTAAGATACTTGGCTAGTTACTCCATTCAACATTCCTTGTAAATTAGACCTTCAAGATCTCTGATTATCATCACTATACTCTACCTCCTTCTTGCTGTACAGTGCCCAAAATGGGATATCACACTCCAGACTACCAGCACAGCCACAGCTAAGCAGGGAGTGTCTGTCAACAGCAACTGCACTCTCTGCACAGATATACATTTTAACTGAACTACCGACAGAGAAACTCATGTTCTGTTTCTAAATAACTAAAGCTCTCCTCTCAGAGATTTCCAATGTTCCTTTAATCATCTGAACTTGGAAGCCAGTTCTGTGTTGCATCGCAGAAAAATTAAGATAATATTTAGAACGTATTTGCTCTTCTGAACGTCTAATAGTTGAATGAGCACAGATCAGAAACAATCTCAGCTCTGAAGCACTTGATTAGCAAACAATAGAAACGGTCATGCAAGACAGGTGAGGACAGGATACATTTGTCTTCAGTGTTAGTGCCACAACTGATGACCCTGTACAAGAATAGAAGGCACAGTGCTCACATGTCTTGCTGCAAGCAGATATTCCTTCATAAGAATCTTAAAAAGCAAGGGTATAATCAGTTTGAATGACAACCCTATTAAGAGCTGTGCCTTTAAGCCTTCCTTAAACATCACTGAAACATTTCAACAGGATGACATTAGGAAACAGCAAAATACCAAGGGATTTCAGCCCAGTTAAATGGAAGGTGATGCTGGGAGAAGGCGAGTGAACCAGAGTCACACAGCTGGACAGTGAGATATGGAGACTCCTTGGAGGCCACCTTTGGTTTCCCAATGACTCTGTCTTGCTTGCTCAAAGCAGCTAGTCATGCTGCTTTGGCTACAGACATGTCCTGCACAGGTTTCCCAGCTGCTGGGGAAAAACTCAGAGGAGATGAAAGTTCAGGGCAGCAATTTCTGCATGGTTGTATTCAAGATTATTTGTAGTGTAATGACATGTGTGCAGGTCTCAAGTAATATATTTATAATGCTGTAACACATACTGGCCTTGAGTAAATCACTAAGCACACACCTTTTGATGGGTTTTTACTTATTTACATGAGTATGTGAGGCTTATCCACAGCCAAAACCTTCAAACTAGATTTTCCATATATTTGTGCTATCACCTACTTCATTCTCTCAAAGAATGAATCTGAAAACTCACAGCTTAAATTGATAATTTGTTAATGTTCCACATTTTACAAAACCACAAGCACAATGATTAAAGGAGTGCAAAATATATGTTTGCCACATGATATAGTTAGTAGAAAATATTTGAGACATACTTGCCTCAAAAAAAAAAGGCTAGTTCATTAAAAACAAAGTTACTTGCAAGGAAATGTGCCAATTCATTTGTCATTTAAAAAGGCAGAGAGAGTTTTAAAATTGCTCAAATATTCTATTTAGATATTTTCAAGGTGAAAAAGTTCCGGTTTAAATTTCAAAACTATCCTTTTGGGTTTCTTTCCCTAAAGACTAATACAGATATGTAGAAAAACAAATCAAAATGAAATATTTCAAACATTTCACTTGATATATTTCACAAACATATTTCACTTGATCTGATTCACCTTACCCCAACCTTTATTTATAAAATAAAATGTATTTTATCTTTTTTTAAAAAAAAATTCTTTACACACATGATAATTATTTCCATCTTTGTGTTCTGCAAAGTCATTTCATTAAAATACCTGAAGAATATTTTTAGTAATATTTTGAATCTATCTTTTTTTTTACCCCTGAATTCTTTCATCATTAGGGATATACATTTTAAAAAATAGTCTTTAAATATTAAAAAGTTCTCCTTTTTCAGTAGCTTACTCTTCCCAAGGCCTTAGTCAATGATTTCTAACATTATAAACTATATTCTTATAGCAACTAATTGTGAAGCCACAGCCAGAAGTCTTTAATTCAAGGTGAAGAATAGGTATCTGGGAGACATAAGAAATGCTGGTAATGATTCTGATTTACAAGAAAGTATTAAATCAACAACCCAAAAGCCCAAGACAAAAAAGCAAATAGTTCTAGAGATAAAATGCAGCATCAGACAGGCATTTTTAGCTTTTTTTTTCTCTGTGAAACAGGGAGCATTGTACTTGTTGAATCTGGAACACTCCCAAAACCAAGGACATAGATGTTCACAAGAGGAAGTCCTTGCAAAACTGGCAATAAACAGGAGCAATGGTGCCATATATATGTAACAGTTTCTCCACTCACAGTCATCAACCCACTGGCTTATAAACCTGTACTCAATGTTTGGTAGAAGTTTATACCACAGGAGGGTATTGCTTCATCTGTTTGAAGTACACTGGATGAGTTTGTTGCACTCAGGGGGAGATACATCCTTGGTGGGTTGTCTTCTGCATCTATCGGTCAAGGAAAGATCTTTGCCTTCTTCATGTCCCTTGTTGCACAGCCCCAAAGAGGTTTTTGACATCTCCCCCAGTTAGGTTAGCATTTTACTTTTCGACTAATAAGAATATGTTTAATTAACAAGCACACAAAATTCTGCAGTTACCAAGGATGCAACTCCCTAATATTTAAATAATCTCTTTTTTTTTCAGCAAGCTACTTACTTTGTTTAACCCATTTGACCTGCTGTGGGAACCGACCCTTTGTACAAAATGGTTTTGTACAAACTGCGAGCGAGGTTGTGGGGCTGGCCAGGGCTGGTCTCTGATGTGACTAGCCAGTTCAGGGGAGTGACCACTAACAAGCCTTAATTGCAATCAAATTGCGAGTTAAGTGTCTAGGTAGTGTTCATTTTGCACATTTTCACATCCGAATGTCTGTATTTTTGTAGTCATTTCTAAGTTTGATGTCAAATGACATTTTGCTAGAGAAATACCCACACTTATAATAGTTCGGTGCTAAAATCCTACCTCCTGGGCAAACAGTGATTTAAACGTGATTAATATTAAATGTATGTGCATGTGTTAGTAAATACATCCTTGTAAAACAGTCACTGGAAGCACAAATTTGAAGTCTTTATGTCAAGACAGAACATTTATAATATAGAATAGCTATTACAACATAAGGGAAATTAAAAAAAAAAAGCTGTACTAGCAGCCAATATTGCTGAAATCAAGATTTTCATTATGAAGTTATTAATATCCTTCTTATTGATTCTTATCCATTTCTTTGTATCATTAAGATGCTCCAGGCACAGAGCAGATGCAACTCCTACACAAAAGAGTCCAACTACGTTGGACATCCCAAAAACTTTTGATTTTCTCAGTGTTAGTATTTCCCTAAAATAAAATGTTTAGCATTGGACTCTCACTTGACAAAGAATCCTACAAGTCACATCTGCTGAAGTAAGTAAAGGAAATATATGCAAAGATCAGGCACTATTACACACAGTATCCTAACAGTATCCTAAAAAATCTTCTCTTAGTATTTAGCAGCCTGGTCACTAGTCTGAGACTCTCGGGCTAGTAGGTCCCAGCCTTCATTTTTTTTCAAAATGAACTCAAAGACATAGGTATCAGTAATTGGTGCAGTGCTAGAAGAAAAGTCAGTAAGAAGATGGCAGCCACAACATTCTTCCCTTGTGCTGTTGAAAGCAGCAGCAGTAACTAAAGCTTCTGGAACGGCAAAAACTTTCTTCTGAAACTGGGATTTTATTTTAATGACAACATTTCCACTTAACAAAGTCAAGTGGATATTAGGACAAATATTTTGTTTATTTAGTTAAATCAAAAGATCTGTAATCTCCTCTCAAAAAGATTTTAAAACCTAGTACCTTTTCTGAATTTTGTTCTGATTTATTTTCTTTCACATAGTCAACTAAGGATGCATCATATAACCCTACAAGTAGAGTTTCTTCTGCTTTTTATGTGAAGACAAATTAAAGGTCAATTTTCAGCACATTATATATTTCTTGTTTTCTGACTACTTAAACATCTTGAAAATTTGGTTAAAGAAACTGAAATCTAATGTTTTATGGTATCATTTATTTCACTGTACTGAAAACAAACAAAACCACCGAAATTTGCTACCCCTTCCCAGTAAAAAATGAAATCACTAGCAAGGGATCACCTCTCGTGTTTTCATGAAATTAAATGCTAATTTTTGTCCAGATAGATTTTGTGTATTTGCCACAGTTCAGCTCTGAACTACTCATAGAAAATCCCAAGAACATAATGTGAACATAAAATCCTACTGTCTGTTGTCTACAGACACCTCAGTTTTACAGTGGGGGTGTTGATGCTTTCAACCTTTTTATTACCTGAAAAACCATCAACAGCTTTATAATGATGAATGCAACACAGTTCAGTGTGCATTTGCAAAGTTCACTTTTAAGAAAGGGCAGATGTGTGCCAGCACATCTGGAAACCACTTTTAATTATACTTTCCTCAAGTGGGAAAGCAGTAGCTTGTACCCATAGTGAAGGTTTTATATCTGACCACACAAATACCAGCAACCACCTGTGCTTTACACTGATTTTCATTATAGACTATATCACATTACTACCCTATTGTTCCAGAACGTCATCTGAAGCTGTTGTGTGACTAAGCTGCATCAAGTGTGGTCTTGAAAAGGCCTCTACTCTACAAAAATGTAATAAACTTGATTGCAGTTCGGGTACTTACCAGTGAGGGTATCACAATATGCCTTCTCCTAAAGTTGGCTCCTCTTGCTCTGAAAGTCATAAAAGATATACATTAACAATCATTATTACCAGTCTGGGAATTGGAATTTAGCAAACTCATGTATGCCCCCAAACGAGATACCTTGTAAGCATTTTGGAATTCCTTTCCAGTATTTGTGTCTCTCCTACTATTAATCCAGCAGTATTTTAGCCAAATACTCTCCTGCTTCAGCCATGCTCTCAGACTACAAATTTCAAATGTGATCTGCCAGCCTGACCCTATTTCAATTCCATCACCAATATTTTCATAGGTTGCAAACATTGTGAGTTACACAACTACGTCGGGTTTTCTAAACTTAAACCTTCCTCCCCTACTCCCTGTTGCCCCACCCAAACATAACAGACTTTTTACATCACTGTTCCTCATTTCTGACAATTAAAAAAACAACTTTCAGATGTTTGCGAAACCCTTTTCTTCTTCACAACACTCTTCCTATATTTTGGAAGGCTGTAATGTTGACATGCAAAATGTTGTATGTCCCAGTGGAAGGGAAAGGTCAAACATTTGCAGCTCTCAGGCACTGGGAGACGTGGCATGCCCAGGGACAGACTGATCAGAAGTGGACACCGGGATGTACAAATTTGTAAGACGTAAAGCCCAAAATTTTGCAGACTGTGTTTTAAGACAATTTGCTATGCTGACCTGCATAATGTACAGGGAACTTTAAAACCCCCAAATAATCACTTTAGTATAATTTAATCTGCTTGTCCGTTACTATGCTTGAAAGACAGGCCTCCACATTGTTACACATCTAAGAACCGACATTCACCTGTCTGCTACTTTCCATCTATAACCCAGGACTCACATTCTGTGGTAACTCATGAAGCCACAGAGGATCCTTCACAGGACTGAGCCCTCTCCCAGTGCTCTGCCCATGTAACTGCACCACACACTGCCAAGGGCTCTGGGATTGCAGCTGAAAGAAACTCACCCCGCTCTGGGGAAGCCTCAAAGCAGACCTCAGTCCGGGATCCCAAAACAGCCGCTGTGCTCCCTCTCTGCCAGGCAGAACAACAACTGATCTGCACAGTCACAAGTACCTTGGCTTCTCTCCTGCCCTCCTATCGCTCTGCCCGCTCTGTTACGCGCAGCTGCACCGAGGCGCAGAAGTGTCCCGGTGCCCCTGTCTCACACCACCCCAGAGAGCTGCTTCTGTGGCAGGCAGGACTCTCCAGGTCAGCAGAGAGGGAACAGCAAGCTTTGCTTTAATGCACCTTTTTTCTTTGGTTACCTCATAGCCTCACATGTGAAACCTGGTAGGCATTTAAACATTCACCCATCTACTATGCATTAAAATTATGTAGGGGGCGTTCACTGGGTCATACTTCGCAAAAATATTCATAATATTTTAAGATTGAGTATTTCAACAGTTCATAACCCCCCTGCTGTAAAAACATAACCTGATTTCACACTGCAAATATATTTATTATCCATGCAAACAAGGCACAATATTCCTACTTCTATTCTTTTATTATCTGTGGATACAATTTTACATTGCTAATAAAAACGTTCATTTTTGTGAATTACTTAAAATAAAAATTATTATTGTCTACTTCAAAGCACAGACACACTCCGAATATAACTTGTTAAAGGTTTTCCAACCAAATACACCTATGGGTCAAACAAAGACTGAAGCACTCTATGGTACTCTACAAAAGAGAAAAATATCCTTTTTTTGTTTGAAGATGAAATCAACCTTACTGAAAGAATTTGGTGTCTAATTATCAAAACAACAGACCTAGAATGTATATTCATTTCATACTGGACATATATCTAATGCAGCATTTTAACAGGGATACAATGGAAGACAGGTAGCTGCCCACACTGAACCTCTGCTTGCAATGGTGACACGAATTGATAATCAAGATCAGACACAAAGAGTAATTTCTAGAAGGGGAGAAGGACAAGAGAAAGGACTGCAAATGGGTAAAATAAGCACTCACTTGTCTTCTTATTTAGAATACAAGGAAGGCACGTTCAAGCCTTTTACTCAGTAAACCTTCTTTGAGGACTTCCAAAGAAGACAACAAAGCTGCTTGAGAAGATGGCAATGCTAGTCATGCTGGTGTCATTGGGATCTAAGGGGGAAGAGGCAGCTTTTGGCATCCCGGAGCAGCCAGGTCACAGGGTGTGGGATCCAAAGAGATGTTAGTCAGGGGGATTCTCTCTGCTGACTGCAATGGGCACCAGATCAGTCCCTTGCCCTTATACCTCTCTAACTATCCCACTCCTAACCCTGTCATCATGAGCTTAAGTATGTGACTGGGAAGGACAGCAGAAATGTCTTTGAAGTCATGAAATATATCCAAGATTCTGGACACCTGCCATTTTAAAACACTGAGCTGAACGCACTTGGCCTTAGCAGCAGGTTAACAGTCTGGAAGCAAGGAGCTGACAAACAGAGGAAAAAAAAACCCACCATGGGTGCATCCTCCCCGCCTAACTGCCTCTGATTCCAGGCATTTTGGGTGCACTGAGCCGTGCCCCCAGGACCATCCAGTCAGGCAGACCACATGCCTGCAGCCGCACCAGAGCCTGCCCGTCGTGCCGCCGTCCCTGAGCCCACTGGAAACCAGCTCCGGGCTCAGGGCTGGTGCTTGGGGCTGCACATATCTGCAGAAGGGAAAACACAGGGGCTGAGGTGCAGGGTGCTGGGGAAGACAAGCAGGCAGAGGGATTGCTCCCGGGAGCTGGGTACCACCGCCAAGGCGGCAGCTGCTCTCCCCAGAGCAGGGTTAATGTCGTCTCCGTTCCCTCCTATAGCGAACTGATTGAAAATACTAAAAAGTCTTTGCAATCCTATTGGTCCTGCCAAGGGAGCTTGACTGGCAGGACAATGCATCTTTGTTCTCAATTAAAAACATTATTTGGGCACGGCAATTATTTAAAAGCCAGGAGGAATGAGATTTTGTGATTATAACCACAATTTGCCAATTGAAGCAAATGTTTTAAGCAATCAAGGTTTGGTAGAGAAAGAAGAGAGAGGGGAATAATAACAAACACTACTATGACTACATGTAGCTTTCATCCAGCCAGTACAATTTTACATGTATTCTGAGATCAATGCAGCATAATCACAAACCAAAATCGTAACTATAGTGAAAACCCACATCCGATGTGCTGATATGGAGGGATTCCATTTGCACATTACATGGCTGGATACTGCAAGTAGCCTGCCTGCTATGTTCTCCTTTCCGTAAGAATACACGGTAACTGTGGCTATTCTAACACTGAAAAATGGGAAACAGAGCAGGAAAGAAGTGGAGAGAATTTGTGTTAAATTGGATTTCCTTGTCTCCTCCTGTAGTTTTTATCAACCAGATGACAAAACATTATCATTAGCAGTTTATACCGAAAGTTAACATTTGCCTGTGGTTTTCTATTTTCTCCAAACCACAAAGGTTGGAGCCTGTTATGCACTCCCCTTATCTTACTCTGTTACTTTAGAATCTAAGGGCGCACTGTGCACATCAATCTTTCATGGCAGAGTTCACTGAAGTTCTGCCAAAATTCAATAATTATGTTTCATCCAATGCAGCAATTTATTTATCTCATTGATGGAATTTAGAACATATAGAACAAAGTGCTTAGTTTATATGAATGAAAACCTTGCTAAAAAAGCCCCAACAAATCCACAAGACAAAACAAAACAACCCTGTTTCATTTCTAAAGTTCTAAAACATGCAACAGAATCTACCAAAGAATAAAGTTATTTTTACAAGATCAATGTTTTCTTGATAAACTGAAAGCATTCTACAATGTTTAGGGTTCTTTTTCTTTTCACATAAGTGAAAGAATTTTGTAAATACATTTGAAACTTTTATTTAAATACATAACAATATGTACCACTTACACTGCACCAATAATATATGAAATATTAATGTTTAATAGTCAGTAAAAATACCAACTAAAAAGCAATAATTTGTATTTTGAATGGAGAATAAATTAGTTTAGTGCACTGAAATGGGTAACTGAGAGCTCAACAGTTCCATGGAGCAAAATCTAAGATACAAAATTATAACAAAGTTAAGCTTTATAATTGCACTCTTTCATGATATGTTTGCAAACAAATAGAAAACATAAAGCCCTCCAAGTAGGAAGATTAGAGACACGTTATTCCTGAGGGCTGTTAAAAATTAAAATGGCACAAAGGAGAATACTTAATATTCTTCACCTATTTCCTTTAGTCTCAGGAAAAGTAACAAAACAGTTATTTATCAACCTAACTATAAAGAAGAACCATTAATCTACTGGTTTGGGATTTAGAAACAGAATACAGTATCTATAAATTTTAAATTTTAAACTTATGAGTAAATAATGTTGATTTATCTCATGGAAACATAACTTCTTCGTATGTTCATACAGACAATAGATTTGATGAAAGAAAATGTTAATTTGGTGTCTGCATTCAAAAGCCAAATTTATGATATTTTAAGTTTTTATGCAAAACTCTCTGTTACTTTGTAGATTAGATTTTACACTTCAGAAATGCTATGAGATAAAATTTGACTCTGGATTTAAAAACTGCTCACAAAGTTTTTGGACCATAACTTGCTGTGATTTATAACACAACTAAAACAGAAATGTACACAACTAAATCAGAAATTAAAACCTCTAGAAGTAGTACCCTTGCATGTGTTCATAATTCCACAGTAAAACCTTGTAGGCAAAACCAGGAATATCACCGTAAGACATTTTAAAATTAGTTTTGCAGTAACAAGGTGGGTATGTGCATATTTTAAATTAACTGTACTTAATTCAGTAACTCGGGAGAAATTACTTCCACGCATCAGCAAATAAATTCTATAACAATTTGCAAAGACTCTACTATCACATTTAGTTTTTCACCCAGTATGGTCATTTTCTGGCAATACTTTACATTAAAATAGGATTCAACTGTGACGTATTTTTCCCCTGTTGTAAAAACTTTTCAAAACCCCCAGAAAAATGCAATTAACTTCTATGGGTTTTATTTTACTAATGCTCTCC